TAATAATTAATTAAAATAAAATCGTTCAAGATGAAGATTACATGTGGCGCCTATAGAACGTGCATATCAAGCACATTGTGTAGCTGCATCGAAACAAACTCAACCATATATGAATGACAGAAATTTAACTGCCCAAAATATTCAGGGTAAAAGCAGTGTATTAATTCAGAAGAATAAACTATTTTATTTTATCTGCAAGTGTGTGCACAACTGACGGTTTCAATGAACGGCGATTATGTCAATTATCTTAGTTTCTCACTAACGATTTTTTCTATTTCTCGGCAGAGAAAAACTGTATCTATTTTTTTTGGCGAATATAGTGCTAATGATTTTGTGATTAATTATACTAGGGATTCAATAAAAACATGAACGACTTCCTACTCGTCGCTAGAAACTTTAAATCCATTTTAAATCAACCTCGTACATATTTTTCCTCGAAATTTCATTAATTGTTCGAATATTTGTATCAGCAAAGAAAGCCGAACTATACATACAATGCTGATATTTTCGCTTTAAAAACCCGAAACTTTTATTATGTTGATATTTTCGCATTGAGTTTGCTATATATGTTCAGATTTGAAATGCCTAGCACCATATCGAACCCGGTGGAAGTCTAGTAGCTACTTCAAACTTTCATCAGTCATGAAAAGATTTGGTCAAATGACACGAGTTTAGATCTTCTGTGAACAAGGCACGAAAAGGAAAAGAATCGGCGACAGGCCACATCAGGCCTACACTTCAGCGCCGACATCATTATGTTATGTTTGTTATGTTATAAAAACGAACGCTTGTAAATGTTCAAACATTAATAAAGTCAAATCATTGTCTTGCATTTCGGAACGAATAGCCTTGACGAGGGTTAATTTATTGCAGGTAAATGATTAAATTAATGAACGATGGGATGCACGGTAGCCCGGTATAATAATCTAGTATGGCGTAGTTCATAGCTACCGCTCTTGTTTTATTAATTATTAATAATTTACAACTCGATAAATGGATATTCATTATTTCAATCCACGTTAAGGAAGAAGAATTTTGATCAAGTCTCCTTAAATTATTAATGTTAAAAAATAAATTATTGTGGTTTTGCCTATTTTGGGGGGCATTTCCGAAAAACTTGATTCCCTTGGATATTGCTTTTTTGGTCTGCATTTTTTAATGGATTTTCAAGATTTTTTTAGACCTTGTGGGATCCAAATCAGAATCGCTCATTCGTCGCTTTTAAAAATAAATGTTATTGATTAACTATCACTAAAAATTTAATGTTACGATTTGAATTCAAAATTAAAAAACCTATTTGTCGTGAGAATCATGCGCATTAGAAATCATTCGCAAAATTTTGGCTTGTATCATCGAGCAGTTCTGCGTATAATCATCGTTACTTGTGTGCTATTGAAGAAAGGCAAAGCATTTTTTCTGAAAAAGGATTTTTTCGTTAGAATATCTTAGGTATTATAATCGTGCATTGTTGTATCTATTGAAAATATTGATGTTGCTCCATCATACCATTCATACGGATCTGTCTCTAAGATACTATCTCTCTCTCTGCCTGATACTGCCAAAAATGTTGTTGTGATATGAAAGTCCGACATCTGGAAACTTCCGACCGGATAGGATTGTCAATGTTGAATGTATTTAGGAGAAGCGAATTCGATTATGTCGGATTTACAGAGCTTCTTAAGAGGCAAATCCCCCAAAAAACTCGCATCACAGACTCGCTGGCTGCCTCCGCTTGACTGATTCATTAAATGAACATAAACATAGACATGATCGTAAGATCCTTATAAGTGTGAAGCTTCGAGAGAAATCAATTCTCGGCCAGCATTTTTTGTACTCGGTCCGAGACCGACAAAAAGTGGAAGATATTGTACAGAAACTTATGTGCTTGTTGTTGATAGCCACAGAATAAAGACATTTTAAAATAACAATCTCGACTTTGATTATCCATTTTACTCAATAACTCTATATTTGTACAATTATTTTAACTTCATTTTATAGACAGTACAGTGCCTTGAACACTCATATAAGCGAGTGAGATATTGTCGAAATAGCGATTCATTTCTTGCACTAGTTTTAGTCATTCTGGGCTAGTGTCCTTACTTTTCAGAACTCGCTAAGTGAACGTAAGTACTTACGCTCTATTTTCTTGTCTGTGATTGGTGGATTTTGCTTGACAGGCCGTCAATGATTGGCTGATGAACTTACGATATCTTAACTTTTTTTGAAAGTATATGCCCAGTTCTGTCATGCTGGGCGTATCAGTGCTACTTGCAGAGAGTGGCATAAACAAATTGGACAAATGACCAATTGATTTATTAGTTATTCTTTATATGCTTGAAATGTTAGAGAGGATAACTCAAAAATATGCGCATAAAAATTACCTTTTTAAAGACAACACTTCTAATGAGGCATGTGTCTCCGATGTTGCACATGTACAATGAATTTCATATTTTATTTTTAAATATTTAAAGAGGTACTAAAAATTTATTAGGATACAATTTTTTTTAATAATTATTTATTCTGTCAATTGATTTAAAAATTGTCTCCAACTTAACGCAAGTAAGCAAAATTTTGATTGGACAGGTAGAAGTGTGTTGAATATCGATTATAAGATTTGTAGCAGACAAACAACAAGAAGTACAGTTAAAGAGAAGGCTTGTAAAAATAAGATAACTGTGCACTTGTTTTTATTTTTATAAGAAACAGACTGGCCCAAAAATGCGATCAGAAATAATCGCAAATAATTACTACGTTGATTTACTCACAAATTTTCATGAATAAATGATTCATGATAAATAATTATCAATTATGTTGGTTCAAGTGTTAATATTTCATTGATATATCGTACCTTTTCCTTATATTGATCTTATGTATTTATTCTCGTTAATTTCAAGGAACCGTATGTCATTGAAGAGTTTCTTCACATCCTGCCATGACGACGCCTCAAGTAATTAAATATCACTCTATATATCGTTAACTCTTACGCCATCGCTGACTTGAATTATCATGAACTAAAGAAATTATTATGAAATGAGCAGTTTACTCAGTATCAAGCTTTTCATTCAAGTTGAGTTTTCTTAAATTTTATCATTTCTCGCAATGATATAGAATAAAAACCCGCTTCAGAATAATTTGCTATTCAGTTAAGAATATATCAATAATTTGAAAAAAAAACAGATTTAGTGAAAGATCACCTCTTACTGCAGATTTAAAAAAATTAATATAATCAGAATGCTTAAATTTTGTTCCATAATACCTTGTCAACCATCTACCGATATTCTTTAGCTTATTTATCATAATTCACCATAAGTCACGTTGTAGTGCAGTGTAAAAAACATCCTTCCTCAGTGTAATATACGAAAGTATGCTATGCTGCCCATGGTTGAACTAGTATAAGGTTGATCCATCAGAAGCACATTTTTGCGGGTGTAGTTTGTTGTTGGCCTGTGACGTCACTGATCTCAGTGACGTCACGGGCATTAACCAATCACCTAAATGCGATCAAACCAGTCAACCAATCCGTCATGGGAATGACGGGTTTGTTTACGTTTCTCGATATACGTGACGTAACAAAAAAGCTGAACTGAAACACGGAACGGGTCGCCTGCCGAAGACCACCACTGCCCTGGATGTAATGGACCATCATGATTCCTGCCTTCCGGAACGTAGCCTTCAACACTTCAAGCCGTTCGTATCTAGGCCGTGGGTCGAACCAGCCCTCGGTCGAACGGTCACTTGTCGAAGGACGATAAATTTTGTAACAGAACTATGCTATCTGAAACCTAACCTCAGATGCGGTGAACGCAAAATTACGTAATTTAACGATGCACGGAAGTCAGATTCGATCCGCGGCCTGGTGGTGCACGGCAGGTGGTGGTCAAGGCCGGAGGAGGACAAAGTCGAGTGATGCACGGCTGATTGGTATAGGTCCGGAGAGATCTAAGGCGTTCGATTCAGGGCTTGTTGGCGCACAAAATTGGTGGTGCACGGCTGCGCTCCCGACGGAACTTCTCGTGGCTCAACCTTATATAGTTCAACCATGATGCTGCCCACTACAGTTGGAAAACATGCATGACGAGTTTCTTTCAAGCGTAGACTACGCTGGAATAAGGATCGTGATAAGCCTCTCGAACATTCCCATGATAATCTCCGTCCACTTGTTCAAACTAATACTCACAGGCTTGCATGTACTCAAAGATCCCGCCCATTCGTCTTTTTTAGGTTTGTCAAACGTCTCGTAAAAGACGTTCACAAACGCTCAGACTTGTATGTCAAACTAGGCATGACATGAAAGACTGACGATAAGTTTGAACGAGTGGACGGGGCCTCAGAAAGTTACATAAGCCATGGTTGAACAATATTCTACTATTTCAACCATGACATAAACGCTTAAGTAGTGATTAGTTCAAATTCAAGCAGAGTTACATCACAGACTGAATTCCACTTCGCTTGACGTGTAAATTTAACACTGATTAATGCAGTATGTGCCCTGAGAAAAATTGTTGTAATATGAAGCATGGACGCTTATTACCATTTACAGTATATTTATATCATTCATTGTCATTGGCCTCAGGTTAGACATGTTATGTGCGCAACGAAAATCAGTAAACACGAATTTGGATCAAATATATCTTTATATCTCATCCAATGAATGATTGCGCAATAACTTTTATTACGTTCAACAATGATCAACGGTGATCTATGCAGCAGTAATCATGACTATTTAGAACTTACGTAGTCGTGGCTCTGATGGTCATCATACAACTTGCGATCTTCCGAGTACTCACAATCATTATATCTCATTGCGTTCAGTGCGTTGAATATAAGGCCTTTTACGAATATTAAGCCTAATACTTTGACTGTTGAACATATAGTTTTTATCTTGATAGTTACAAAAATATACGATATTTCTATAATGGAACTTGCGACGTTCACAACAATATCGAGTTGTCGTCTGACTCCTAACCGTATAAATATAGCAGTGGTGTGTTGAAGTTGAACGTTGCCGTCAGTGAGGTTTCCGTGGCCGTCGTGTTAGCTGTGTCTGTGCGTGTCGTCGTTGTACTGCTTGAGCAGATCAGGTAAAAAATTTTTCCCTTAAAGGTTGTCTGTGACAGCGGGTGGTTAGGTTACCAATTACCTCCTTCTAAACCGACTGTTAGTTTGTGCCAATAAATTTCCAGTTTAATTTAAGGTATACAAGAAATTAGTGTCAGAATTACAATAATAAAGGAGAACAAATTTTAATTACGTTATGGAGAAGGTCTGTTTGAAACCAATATGCATCATTGTTTTGATGCGTAAATAACGGAATCACACATTCACACGTCGTTATGCATCACCTATGTCACCGTTGAACTTCGTCCGTAAAAGTTTAATGTTTGCTTAATGATTTATCTTAAGCTTGATATGAATCCGATAGTCAACGACAGTGGCCGACTAAAACAAAAAAAAAAAAACTTTTATACGTTTATTGGACATCGTTCATGGTACTTTTATAATTTTATCTGATCGCAAACAGAATGAAATTGAATTAATTAGGGGGTTTCCTTATACCTGAATGTCATTCATGCCGTAGTAAATGCAATTTTCAGGTTTATCTACCCAAATCATCACTTAAACGACTGTAGTGATCTTGTATGGCTTCCTCTGTCTTTGCATAAGACGAGTTTAGCCTATACGCTTCTGGTAGAACTCAATTTGAATTGGAAAATTAAGCACCTGAATGTGAATGAACAGCACAAGAACGGAAAGCTAAGTTCTCGCCTTGTTAGTTAGGCCTTCCAATAGCCTTACTCCAAACTCACAACTATTACTACGGTACGTATTAGTCAGAACCTAAAATAATCGATGCGTAGCTACGCTCACTGCAGACTATGAGGCTCACGATACGTTCAAAATTCTTGAATCACCTAATAGACCAGCACCTAGACAAAGGCAACAATTGTTGAACATATCTCATGTGATTTGATAAATTTAGTCCTTGAAGTTGAATTACAAGTGTTTTTCCTGCCGTTGACAACAGTAGGCTGCGAGCGGCGGCATCAGACGCAGCAAGAACCGGTCTCGCGTACGCGGGGCCCCCAACTCCAAGCGCCGAAGCTGCAATGCTGAGGCCGCTTTTTTCTGCCCAAGCATGATTTTCAATGCTCAAATGCCACTGATAGGTTTTATTTACATAAAACTGATAACGATGTACTTATTCACACAAATTCTACTCATTTTCTTCCCAGCTTGTCTGAATCTACCAAAAGAAGAAACAAAATCATATACTTGCTGACTTCAAATTATGTCATGGTCTCATGGATCTTAGATAATAGATCATAATTTCTGCTGCATTTTCAGTATTGATATGAAAATGAGGCATATAGTGATGGCCATGATATCAGTGTCACTACATCCCATTCTCTAGCTAATTGGACCTTAGTTAATTTATTTAATCAAGTTACCTGACTGTCTGACTGGACCCTAGACTAATGCAAGCAATAGGCAAGAAGTTAGAAACCGCATTCACGTGATAAAATTATCGATAATTTTATTCGTATTGTGGGACGGTCGAATAAGCTTTTTATGACACTTTGATTTAAATGCGGGGTTGACAGGTCACTGCAAATAGAAGTTATCATGTTATAGCAGGAAACAAAACTACGATTAGCCTTTACCAAATTTTTTCGGCAAACCTTACTCTTCTTGTATATCAAAGGGGTACACACTAGCGATGGGTTTCAGTTTCTTGAATAGTTTTTATTCTTCCAAAAAGTTCACCTTTATTACCTAAATGAAATTCCGAAACAAAGTAACATTTTGTTCAAACAGAAGTAAACTGATGCAGTGATCTCCTCAGGAAGCACTGACTAACTTGTGAAGGAATTAAAATGGAAATAACTGGATCTCATAAAATTCTCGTAAAGAATTGAGCAAACATGCGAACAAACTTTGAACTAAATATCAACAGCAGCCAACAAAGCGAACTAGTTTCTAGTGCGCAAATGTTGCACAACAGTGTCATTGTTTGCAAACAATTGCGCAGCACAACCGCTGAGTGACCGTGCTGCATTGCATGAGGTCTGCATTCGCGCTCTCTTTGACATGCGATGTTTTATATTAACGAATACTAAATGTTTTTTTTCTTATTTCGATAGCTCAGACTGTGACCAGTTCCAGACTTAGTCCGTCTATTCCGGTTATTAAGTCTTCTTTGTTTTCTGCAGCTGAATCTCCCTCGAAAGTCTTACTCTTCTTGTCTTTAGAAATTCATCTACTCTCTTGACACACTTACTGTCTTAATTAACCTACTCGCTATCGATACTCACCTGCTGTTTTACCGTACTCGCTGTCTCTACTCACGCACTTACTTTCTGTCTTCATTTACGACTGACTTAATAACCTGTCTGCCATTCCTTGCCTACTGTCTTCACTCACCATTAACTTCACTTACTTTCTAATTTCACTCACTTGCTTTCTTCACGTTTTCGCTGTCATTCCTTACCTTACTGTCTTAACTTGCACAAAACGCGAAATTTTCTAATTTCGTCTGTACTAATGTTAACGATAAATTTTCAACGCTCTTCAACAGGCTCATAGTGCACATACAAATCGTAAGTGTAACAAATAACAAGAAATTACGCGATGGCATCCGTGAGCAAGGCGATGACGTCATCACGACGCCTGGTGCAGGCAGCGAGACTCGGCGTGCGTGGCGCGCAGACTGCGCCTCAGACAGCAGCGCCAGGGTGAGTTGAAAATGATGATGAAAATTGTCAATCTTATAATTAATAATGACACTCTAATATCATCAATAAATTTAAATCAAGTTTATAAAAAAGTGAACTTCACTTTCGAATTTGTAAAAAGTTTTTCATAAAATTGCTAATCTACGTGCACTCTTGCGAAATCGATGTAAATTTTTCTCATATTTCTTGTTGATTAGATTACTTTCAATCTATCTACAAAAAAAACTTTGATAGATTTTTCAATTTATTATGAAAAGGTCACGCATTCCGAAAAAAGTTAATCCACAAATTAATTTCCGTTAGTTATTTTATTCCTTAAAAAATTACAAATTTTCCATCTAATATTTTTTCTCAATTAGAGTAATTGACGTTTCCTATATGAACAAATGAATTGCCTAACTAATTATCATCGCACATAAAACAGGATAAAAAATCGTTACCTACCAAATAAAATTTACGTGGTTCTAAACTGTTCGATGTTTAGCTATAAATGCTTCTAAATATTATTTCATTGCCTGTTCGGCGAATTTTCACAATTTTTCCTCAATCGAGCGCTTGTTTTTTAAAAGGCTCATTTTGTTTTGTTGTGTTGAAATAAATTACCTGGAGATTGTGGGAATAATTGAAGCATGATTTGTATTCTTGATCGATTTCATGGTTGGCGTCTAAGTAGCCGAGATTTAGTAATAATAATAATATGTTCTGCCAGTTGTTTTCCTTAATGATAACCAGTTTTATAGCTGAAGAAGTGTTATTTTTACGGTCCAATCACACATTTTCTTAGTGTTCTGAATCAATTTTTTTCTCGGCTATTTTATTTTCCTGTGGTTTGCCTCGAAATTAAAAATTTGTTTAAAATATTATTGAAATATTTGTTATCATCACACTATCACTGTTCTAAATAAACGGTCAAACCAGCGTTTTAGTGGGCGGCCGTCCCGTGATGGTTCGTTTTTCAAATGTAAACCTTAGAAAAAACCTGCGACATGCGGTTTTATTTCACGTTGCGGCCGACCACTAAAACGGTGTTCCGACCGTTTTTTGCCGTTTTCGCGCATTTTCTCATTAATGGATAAATGTATTATTGTGCTCGCCGTGTCCGTCTATCCGTCCGTCTGTTCGTCCGTGACTTCACGTTTTCGTCGACGTGAAAATGCGCTTCTGTCACTCACTGCAGTAAGTACTGAGTTGTATTTTTTCACCGTTATAGCGCATTTTCTCATCTATGAAAAAATGCGCTATTGTGCTCGTCATGTCCGTCCGTGATCTCACGTCACGGACGGACGAGAAAATACGCTCTCTGTCACTCAAACAACATCTAATTTTTTTAACAGTATTTCGGCCCCGCTTGCACCCTCGCCCGCGACAGCCGCACTCATCAAACAAGAGGAGAAGTTCGGGGCGCACAACTATAAGCCGCTGCCTGTCGCAATCAAGCGAGCGCAAGGTCTTTGATTGGTTATATTTGGTTTTATGTACGACTATACATTAGTCATTACCATAAAGTTCATTAAAAAATGTTTATACTGTGAGTTAGGGATAAACGCTTCCATCATGGTTAATGCAGAACTTTAATCATGATTAAGAAAACAAATCTTGCCGAATTGTATTCAATAGTATACTTGAACTAGATTCTTATGGAGCTTAATTAACCCATGATTTGAAGTTGAAATATTTTCCTATGTTGAAATTTTTTCTTATGTTGGAATATTTTCTATCATTGAAATATTTTCTATCGTTGAAATATTTTCTAACGTTGAAATATTTTCTTACATTGAAATATTCCCTTATGTTGAAATATTTTCTTACTTTGAAATATTTAACTATGTTAAAGTATTATATTGTGACGCACCATTTCCTCATGAGATGTTATGAACCAGGCGTATTCATGTGGGACGTAGACAACAAGCGATACTACGACTTCCTAAGCGCGTACTCAGCTGTGAACCAAGGCCACTGCCACCCCAGGATCGTGAAGGCCCTCACGGAACAGGCCGCAACTCTGTGCCTCACATCGCGGGCCTTCCACAACGATGTTCTCGCGCACTACGAGAAATTTGTCACCGAGTTACTGGGCTACGATAAACTTCTGCCCATGAATACAGGTGAATTTATCATGCAGTGTATGGATCTTGAGAGTTGAGAATATTGTTCCCATGAATACAGGTGAATTTTCATGCAGTGTAAGGATCTTGAGAGTTGAGAATATTGTTCCCATGAATACAGGTGAATTTATCATGCAGTGTATGGATCTTGAGAGTCGAGAATATTGTTCCCATGAATACAGGTGAATTTATCATGCAGCGTATGGATCTTGAGAGAGTTGAGAATATTGGTCCCATGAATACAGGTGAATTTATCATGCAGCGTATGGATCTTGAGAGAGTTGAGAATATTGTTCCCATGAATACAGGTGAATTATTATGCAGTGTATGGATCTTGAGAGTCGAGAATATTGTTCCCATGAATACAGGTGAATTTTCATGCAGTGAGTGTTCCTTATGAATATTGTTCCAATAAATGCAGGTTAACTCAAAAGATTTGTCAAATCAAGGTTCGTAAAAAGTATATCGTGTCACACTGATTTCTAATCAAAATGGCGATTAATAGCCATATGTTACGAAGTCGTTGGAATACGCATTACTTTCAACAGGTGAAATTTAACCTAAAATAGGTATCAAAAGTGTGAAAGATTCCATGATTGCAGGTGTGGAGGCATGCGAGACTTCAATAAAGCTCGCCAGGAAATGGGCTTACAAAGTCAAAGGTGTTCCTGAGAACCAAGCGAAGATCATCTTCGCTGAGAATAATTTCTGGGGGCGTTCTCTGGCCGCCGTGTCAGCCTCAACTGACCCCACGGCTTACCGTGACTACGGTCCCTTCTTGCCGGGCTTCAAGACCATCCCTTATGATGACTTGCCGGCTCTCGAGGTAAATTATTCTTCGAAACCATTCATTATTGGAATCAATTTATTTTCGAAACGAATGATTTATATAAACACATTACTAACAATTAACGAAACTATGGGCTGTTTGCCGGACTTCAAGACCATCGCTTACGATGACTTGCAGGCTCTCGAGGTAAATTATTCTTCGAAACCATTTATTCTTGGAATCAATTTATTTCGAAACCAATCATTTAAATATATACATTACTAACAATTTACAAGACTGTGAGTGTGGGCTGTTCTTTCCGGGCTTCAACACCATAACATACCTTCTTCTAAACCATTCATTCTTCTAAAGAAATTTATAAATCTTTGAAATGAACAAGAATAAAAAAAAAGAATTAAATGTCAGGTATACTTTCATTGAAGCATTAATTGCAACAAAATTTTGCTGAATTTGCTAACTATGTACTTGGCTTTCAAGTTTTTGGTTAATATGCAATTTAACCTAGCTAATTATATAATTGCTTAAAAATGTCCCACGAAAAGCCTCATTAGAAATTGTTCATTGTAAGTTTCTCATTATAATTTAAGTTCTATGACCGATGGCCTTTGTTGTAGCATTGCTTGTAGTGCGCATTAGTTGGATAGCAACTCGACGGCCGCCATTGGCCTGTTGCCCTCCAAACCTGATTGCCTGACCAGTTTTTTATGTTGCTCTCATTGTTACGCACCAATAAATACGCTATAAGTTATATTGTTGGAATAAGTTTTTTTTCTTTTTTTTTTTACTGTTTTCTTGCCGTATTGTTCCGTTTTTTTAACAATTTTTTTCACTTTGTTGCCATATTGTTTTTTGGCCACTAATTTTTTTTTCATCACTCTACGTTTTATTGAAAACAATTTTTTCCGTCTTATTACCGTATTGTAACGGAGTATTTTTTCGCTAATATTTTCAAGTGTGCGTAAAATCGTCTGGATTTGCAAGGCTGCTACAATTTTTTATTTTTCTTACAGTATTGTTATAGTAAAGCGATACGATAAGCAAACGCTATAAAAAATACCTAACCCGACCAAACCTAATCGAACGTATGGTCTTTGGTAATTATTAACGTATAATCCTTGATAATTATTAACGTATGAAATTTTGGTATGATCCTTAATATTTAATAACATAAGGTCAATAATAATTATTTACGTATGGTCCTTGATCCTTGACAGAGCAGGTATTTTAATTCTGTGATTAATTATTATTTCTGTGTTGTTTTTTCAATCCTTGATTATTGAACCCCTTATGTTGAAAAATTCTTGGGTGCCGATCAATCAGTAAATCGTAATCATTCAACGAAAAATTTAATCAAAATACGTTTATCGAATCTCTTCGAATTCTATTTCATATTGAATTATCAAATGTTCACCAGAATTACTTTCATGTTATTGAGCTGAAGCAGAACAGAGCAACTTTCGAATATATGATTCCTACAATTTCATTGTAAAATGAATTTCTTACTTTTTTTAAAGGCTGAGTTGAAAGATCCGAACGTGGCGGCCTTCATGGTCGAGCCGATACAAGGGGAGGCGGGTGTGGTGGTGCCTTCAGACGGCTACTTGGCGGGTGAGTGAAGGCCATGGTCGAGCCGGTACAGGGAGAGGCGGGTGTGGTGGTGCCTTCAGACGGCTACTTGGCGGGTGAATGAAAAGGAAGAAGTCCAATAACGCAAACTCTTCTTCATTTAAATACGTTGGTGCGACAGAATTTCCTCGATCAGGCCAAGATTTTTTGTTGTACGCTAGTTAGTATTCACTTATATTAAGGTTTTTTTTAAGGAGCGGTGATCTTATGCCTTGGCAATTCTTTTTCGAGGAACGATCCTCTATACAACTGATGAATTGAACTCTGAATTATAAATGGGATCCTTACCAGAACTACTTCAATATTCTTCCAACCGCTTTCAAAGAATGCGAATTAGTTTAGCTGCGTTTTAGTAGTTGTAGTTTTATTTTGTTTTATATTTTTTAGTAGTTTTATTTTGATTTATAATAATTTTAGCTATGAGTCGAACTATAGTTTAAATGTTTAATACCGTCGATATTACGGTTTCATATTTAAGCTTAAATGTCCGGTATTAAACAAAATGATTTTTTGGCAAGAGGTCTACCCAATTATTTCAAAGATACCTAATGAGATTCGCTAATTTTATTACCGTACACCGCGGTTTACTCAATCCTTGAATGAATAAATATTTAAATTATTATAAGCGTCCCTTATTTTCCAGGCTGTTACCACAAGCTATTCAATTAGTTCAATGACGCATCAGTTTAAGAGTCCCAAATTTTACAGGCGTTCGCTGCAAGCTACTCAAGCATTTCAATGATGATACATTATTTTAATTATCAGTGATTATTTAGATTGATGTTGCAGGCGTGCGCAGTCTGTGCACTAAGTACAACGCACTCTTTATCGCTGATGAAGTTGAACGATACATTATTTTAATTATCAGTAATTATTTAGATTGATGTTGCAGGCGTGCGCAGTCTGTGCACTAAGTACAGCGCACTCTTTATTGCTGATGAAGTTGAACGATACATTATTTTAATTATCAATAATTATTTACATTGATGTTGCAGGCGTGCGCAGTCTGTGCACTAAGTACAACGCACTCTTTATTGCTGATGAAGTGCAGTCTGGCCTGGGACGCGCCGGCGCCCGACTCTGCGTGGACAATTCTAAGGTCAGTGACACTTCTTAGCTGGGTGATATATACTATAATAGGGAACATATGGGGTAAATAAAGTAATATGGGGTAAAAAGCGTCACTGTTGTGCTGGGTGATATATACCACGGGGAAAATATGGGGTGAAAATAAAGTAATATGGGGTAAAAAGCGTCACTATTGAGCTGGGTGATATGTGGCACGGGTTACATAGGGGGTAAATAAAGTAATATGGGGTAAAAAGCGACATGGGGTAAAAAATGATATGGGTAAAAAGCGACACTGCTGAGATGGCTGCTATATACAACGGGTAACATAGGGGGTAAATATAGTAATATGGGGTAAAAAGCGACATGGGGTGAAAAAATGATGAGGGGGTAAAAAGCGACACTCCTCAGCTGGGTGATATGTAGCACGGGTAACATATGGGGTAAATAAAGTATTGTGGGGTAAAAAGCGACATGGGGTAAAAAATTATATGGGTAAAAAGCGACACTGCTGAGATGGCTGCTATATGCAACGGGTAACATAGGGGGTAAATATAGTAATATGGGGGTAAAAAGCGACACTGCTGAGCTAGGTTCTATATACCATGGGTAACATATGAACGAGTGCACATATTGGATCTATAATTCTGAAACTGTATCTTCCTTTTAATAATTAACTGATATGTTAAGAACTATGAAATACTTAGCTGGATCGACCTTGAATAAATGAACGACCATTCCTATAGTTCTACTCTGTTGCTTAGCATTTGAGAATTTCAAGCATCGCGCATGAAGAATTGCGCAATTTCGTAATATTTATCTATCATCTGAATCAGATAACTTTTCGTGACGAGTGAGAAATAGGAATTAATTGTATTTTTGGATAGATTGATAATTAAATGCTATAAAAATACATAACCCATTTTGGCTCGTTTCGTTATATGAATCAAATATCGAGTTGAATTGTGTCCATCGTTTTCTATTGAAAATCAGACATCGTGACATCGATGCACGTTGAGCGGACTGGATATCTTTCGTTGTGCGTCATGACGGCTCAAAATATTGCCTCATGCCAAGAAAAAGTATTGTATAAATTATCAATATGAAACATGTGATGGAGAAATGAATAAAATTGAAATTCATTACAGCGGAATTAGCGAGCTATTATATCTATCATCTGGACCAGCCAATTCTTATTTGTGATGAGTGAGTTATGAATTTAAAGATATTTTGTGATGATTGAGTTACGAATTAGTAATATTTTTTCACGATTGGGTTACGAAGTAGTGATATATTTATTACCTGATTGCCACAATCTAAGGGAAGGATGTCTCAGGTGCGACCAGACTTGGTGACGCTGGGGAAGGCGCTGTCAGGGGGTGTGTACCCAGTCTCTGCCGTCGTGGGGGATGATGAGGTTATGACGACCATCAGACCTGGGGAACACGGCTCTACTTATGGCGGCAACCCCATTGCCTGCAAGGTGGGAAATTGTTTTTATTATTACCGTTTTTGGACGCCATTAGGGGAGTTATATACAAACAGCCCCGTTGCCTGCAAGGTGGGGAATAGCTTTTATTATTACTGTGTTTTTAGATGCGGAGGATGTTATATGTACAACAGTACAAGCACTTAGCCTGCATGGCTATGACTTATTTGAACTATTTCGGTCCCTTGGATCTATTTGAGTTGTTATTTCATCACTGCCTCGAGGTCAGATATTATTTTGAACATGGTTATTTTTATACCCCAATGGAGGAGTTATATTCAGAAAACATCACCGTCTGAAAGATGGAAATTTAATCTAATTATAATTTTATATCCGTGAGAGATGACAACATCGCATACAAGATGAAAAATTTCTTAAATTCTTACACCCACCACGACTGTTCCACTGTGGAACATTGTTTCATATGTGTACAATTGCTGCCTAAAAGTGGCACATTAATGTTTGAAATTACCTATATTTCATTTAATCACGATACTATATAGAATTATATAAAATTCAACTTATGTAGCTGGAAAATTTGAACGCATACCCCAGAACCTGGCCACCATAAGGCTTCTCAAAGACGCAGATGTGCTGTTATAAAACGAGTGATTTTTTCCGTCTCACATGTTTTTGACGTTGTTTACATGAAACGAGTGATTTTTTCCCCGTCCCACATGTTTTGTGACGTTGTTTACATTAAACGAGTGATTTTTTCCGTCCCACGTGTTTTGTGACGTTGTTTACATAAAACGTGTGAATTTTTTTTTCGTCTTACATGTTTTGTGACGTTGTTTACATAAAACGAGTGATTTCTTCCCCGTCCCACATGTTTTGTGACGTTGTTTACATTAAACGAGTGATTTTTTCCGTCCCACGTGTTTTGTGACGTTGTTTACATTAAACGAGTGATTTTTTCCGTCCCACATGTTTTGTGACGTTCACATAAAACGAGTAATTTATTTTTTTTTGTGACGTTTAATGTGTCCAGGTGGGCATCGAAGCACTGAGAGTACTGGAGGAAGAAAAGCTTGCTGAAAATGCTGTCAGGACCGGAGCGCTGTTGAGGGACGAACTCAAGAAACTGTCGCCTGAAGTGATCAAAATTGTTAGAGGAGTTGGGCAGTTTAACGCCATAGTTATCGACGCAAGTAAGTTTGCTATACGCTAACATTGCTAATTATTAATATGTGACGTCATAAATATATATGACGTAGTAACATGACCACATTGTATGGTAATTTAGGAGTGTAATTTATTTATCTATGAAGAGGGCTTGATTTTTCAAGACTACTAACCAGATTCATTTTTCTTTCATGAACCAATGTGCGTTGTAGAAAATATTCCATTTTTGTTAAAGCGAATTACGCAGTAGAATCATTTTGCTTGCCTCTATAAATATCATGTTTTTGTGAAAAGTATTAGAAAAGCTCGGGTTTACATAGCCTTTCTCAACAGAATATGAAGTCGGGCCTGTTTACTCTTGCCATTATACTAGGATATGGAATATGTTTCAGTAGATCGAAGTTCTCATCTTCAGAATATGACGCAATGCTTCTTTGCTTGGTGCTCGGAATACTAGGAAAAAAATGTTTCATTTAAATATTTCTCTGTATAATATTAATCAATTTATGTTTGTTGTGTGCTCGAACTGGGATATGTCCATTTTAATGAAAGACAATCTGTAGTATAACGTCGCTTTGTTTTCGTTTTCAAACTGGGAACGTCTTGGTATTCAAAATCCAGTTTAACAAAGGACAATTTGTATTATGACTTCGCTTCTGTTTGTTTTCGTTCCTAAACTGAAAACGTCTTGGTATTCAAAATCCAGTTTAACAAAGGACAATCTGTATTATGACTTCGCTTCTGTTTGTTTTCGTTCCTAAACTGGAAACGTCTTGGTATTCAAAATCCAGTTTAACAAAGGACAATCTGTATTATGACTTCGCTTCTGTTTGTTTTCGTTCCTAAACTGGAAACGTCTTGGTATTCAAAATCCAGTTTAAAAAAGGACAATCTGTATTATGACATCGCTTCTGTTTGTTTTCGTTCTTAAACTGAAAACGTCTTGGTATTTAAATTTTTTTATTTGCAGAATACGATGCGATGGATGTTTGCCTGCGCCTGCGAGACCGCGGGCTGCTCGCTAAGCCGACGCACGGCGACAAGATAAGGTTCACGCCCCCGCTGGTCATCTCGGAGGAACAGATCATGGACTGCGTGGGCATCATCAAGTCCGTGGTGGAGGACCTCCTTAGGGTCAAATAATCATGCAGGATTAGGTTGATGATTGGTAAATTCATTGCAAGATTAATCAGGAAATGCTAGAGATAGTTCGTGAAATTATCGTAAAGATTGATATTCGGTTCATTCTGCTTATCACTGTATGAGTTATCAGGAAAAGCTAGGGATAGTTCGTGAAATTATCGTAAAGATTGATATTCGGTTCGTTCTGCTCAACACTACATAAAATGCGTGGGATAGTTCGTGAAATAATTACGAAGATTTAATTTCGAGAAATTAGTGAGACTTGACCTGAGAAGCGACGATCTTTTTACCCTTATGTGGGTCATCCTGACCCAGTTTTAGCCGGCATAACGGCGTATCATTGCTCCGTCTGTTCCGTGCTTGTGTTAGGCAGTAAGTTACTATTTGGAAAATATTACCCATGCATTTCTTCTGAGCTTGATATTATATTCTTTCTCATCTCACATTCGTTATTACAGTGATTCTAATGAAAGTCTCGATGGGCATCGAATATGCCATGATAATTTTAAAATATAATTAATATTCTAAGGCAAACTTTTATGCACGAACCTAAAACCATTCAAGCAACAAATGTTTTAAGAATCATTCCTGAACTTTGTAAATTTAACTCTTGTTCGCTTCCCTGCAATCCGCTTATTACTATTTAATTTATGAATCGGTTTACTTATAAAGTATCTTTTATGTGCTTATTTTACAGATGGTTCAGAAATGTCAGACAATATTATTAACCTCTTTTTAATAGGTCTCAGTCGTATTACTCATAAATATTTTGTCGTTGCGGTTCATCTCTTCAGGTATCATATGAAATCAAGGTAACGTACCATAAAGGCAGTCAGTAACTCTATTTACTATACCTTGGCGTACAAATATCCTACAAGTCCTGTAAGGCTGTGAAGAGAATTCTATGCAAACCTGGTTCACAAACGAGTTTTCGGTTGGTGTAAACATCATCCCGCGCCAAACAGGGCTCGCAAACACTTTAAGAATATTGACGATAAATCAAGGACTACTACACACAGGACATGCATAGCCTATGTCCAGCCTCTGCTAGCAGAGGCGATCGCCTACACTATGAAAATGCTGGTGTTTTAAAGTCTATGGTTCTGACCAAGGACTACTACACACATTGTAATACTATTGTATGAAACAATTATGGGCATATCATTTGTTGATGCCACTAAAACAACAGCATTTCCATAGTGTAGGCGATCGCCTCTGCTAGCAGAGGCTGGACATAGGCTATGCATGTCCTGTGTGTAGTAGTCCTTGCGATAAATTCATTTCAATGAATACCGGATCGTCACGAATGATCTGCGTGCTCTGTGTTTGTTGCAGTTCCAGTGTAAGCGGTATATTCAGGCGATAATTTTTGTCGAAGTATTTGAGGGGATAAATTTTTAGTGTTATTCAACCTATATACCATAAAATATTTAATACACTTCCAATGAACATGCATGTGCATTCCAAAGTCACTGGGCAAATTTGTCTCGATTTCCTTGGGAACTTTCAGATCTTTCCCGATGAATACCCGGGTAATAGTTGTTTCTACGCTTTAATTTAGCAACATATGTTGATGATTAGTTTATAGTTCATATGTTAAATGATTTGTGCGGCATGTAAAATATGACAAAAAGGTTGAAAAGTTTTGAATACCTTGTACCGACCGAACATATATTAACCGAGTATAAATGACGCCATAGCTTTTGCCACACATTAACTGAACAAAGATACATATAACTCTAAAACAAAGATTCATGCAACTTTCACTTGTTTTTTGACCTAACTATAGAATCATCACGTTTAAAAAGTATTGAGAACGTAATTGCCATACTTGCGAACGATGGCGATTGCTTGAGAACAACTGGTCGTACGCAAGCGGGAGTGTATAAACGGGAATCAACTGTGTATGTTTGCGAATTATTTTCAACGCTATCTTTAATTAAGGGGGGTTCGCGAATGTGATTTGACATGCTTTTCCGCATTTAAAAGTTTCCTCGTAAAAGTAATGTACGAGCTAAAGTGTGATGTTGGACAAAGCTGGCCTCACTAATGCACTCCTTTTGTTGTGGTTTATGCGGCTATAGTAAACACTATACTTTCACAATTTTTTTGATCATTTGATCGGACTTTATTTGGACAATGTATTGTGCTCTGACAATGGTCAATGTTGCAGTTATGGTTCATAAATCCATTAAAATGACTCAATCTTTTTATTGTCGGGTACTCAATTCTACAATTGATGCTCCCAGCATAGTTTTTTACTCAAGGCATGCCCTACACTTTGCCTCATACAAGAGTCACGGCACTAGCTCCTGGGCCGCGCAGCCCGGAGCTTCTTGAACCCGAGTTGGCCAATAACTAAGGTTACAATTAGAAACTGCTATAAAAGGAGTCTTGTTTGGGCAGGTCTCTGATGGAGAAAAGGGAAAAGCATTATTTATTTAGAGTCAAGCAAAAGCACTCCTTGTAAAGGGCAGTCATTGCAGAGGTTGAGCTGCATACCATAGAGTGCCCCTTGGTTGCACCCAGATAGCACTCAGAAAGGTCAATGGGGAGGAATTTATTTTACCATAATTTTAGTCCCACAGAGTTTGAGTAGGAATATGAGTTAACTATGAAGTTTGTAATAATAATTAGCTCATTACAACAATAATAATAAGGTGGTTAGTATTCCAAATATGATCACAGAGATATTAGTTTATTTCTTGAGTTAAGGTAGTTAAATCATATATGGTTGACCGATGGTTGAACTAGTATATATAGTTCAACCATGTGGTTCACCATACGTCACTGCAGGTCCATAATTTTAGTGACGTCACGGGCATTAACCAATCACCGAAATGCGATCAAACCAGTCAACCAATCCGTCGTGGGAATGACGGGTTTGTTTACGTTTCTCGATCTACGTGACGTAACAAGAAAGAGTGAACTGAAAGACGGAACTTCTCGTGGGTCAACCTTTTGACCCATGCTTCTACTAGTTCAACTATGAGGTTATCCCACGAGAATTTCCGCCTTTCAGTGTATCTTTCTTGTGAGTTGTGACGTCACAGTGATCAGAAAACGTAAACAATCCCGTAAGGCGTAAATTATCATGGAGTTTCGTTTGGTCACTCGTTGAAGTAAGACTTGTGGTGTGTAGTTCTTAAGTAGTCGGCTGTGACGCAGACCCTAGAAGAAAACAGGTAGCTGTGTTGTGTATTGAAGTAAAGTGTAATAACCGAAGCCCCTAAGCAAACGGTGCAAACCACCTGCTTCCGAGTCATGTCTCTAGTCTCTACCTCAAAAAGATGGCTTTCAAGCTCCTGGCTCACCTGTGAACTCCCAAAACTTAGAAAGCAAACTAAGTGCTTCTCAACTTGCAGGGTTAGCAACTTAGCAGGGACAGGGATCTTAGCAGATAGTGACTGGGATGCCCGGGGATGGTGAAAAAATGCAGACAAAAAATAATGATGGCATTGATTGAGTCTTCAAACCAAGAACTTAGGAAGACCAAAAGAGAAAGGCATCTTTTGACCATACTTCCTAAGTTCCTAGTTCCTAAGACAGTAAGACCTTAGTTCCTCTGCGTCTGCAATACTGCAGTAGTCTAGTATGGAAGAAAGTATTTGATGCTGTCTGGCCTGATCATCAACATCCAGTGCTATCCTGAGGCTCAGGGCTCAATGTCAACAGTCAATTCATATGCAACAGTGTTGACTGTTGAGGCAACAGAGAATATGGAGCTACAGGACTCTGTTTTCTTGTAGCTCTGTTGTGTTGACTGTTGAGCTAGTATCAGTAGTATGGAATATATCTACTTGGCGAGCCGCGACTGAATTTTTCGAGCCGTGGTTTTATGGATTTGCCAGCCGTGATTTGACATTCGAGCCGCGAGATTTCATACCTACTGAAATTATATGATATTAGAGCTGCGATATTTCAGACAAAAATAGGACTTTTCCAGACTAGGTGTTGAGGAAACAGAGCAGTCAGAGCTACAGTCTGGACTCTACTCTGGAGCCTGCAGAGTATGCTCATTCATTACTAACAGACTAACAGTAGGCTCCAAAATCCTCTTTCTCCTTTGTAGATGATGTAGATGTAGAATAAATCACATTTTTGTGATTTTTACTTGTTTTTCCTTTATTGATATGATATTACCATATCCATGCATTACCTACCTTATTATTGATGTGATATTACTGATAATTACCATATCCATGACCATGAACATGCCATTGAGCATTGACAACAACCTTGTCCACTGCAAGCTTCATATCAGAAGCCATATGGCTTTTCTTCTGTATCTGTAAGCTTATAGGATGCTAAGGATGGTTTGTAATTTCACACCATTTTAATTGGGTCAAGTGAATTCACTATAACAAAAAAGATAGTAATGACCACTAAATCATAGTGGCAAAGCAGAGAGTTTTTTAGACTCCTCCTCAAGTTCATTTTTTAGTCCTATAAGTAGACCAGTAAAGTATCTTGGATACCAGAATTATCATACATAAGAAATCTGTTAAAATCTTGAGTAAATGAGGAAATTAAAAATGAACTGATTCTAAAAAATCAGTGGTTTGCCACTATGACCACTATGCAGAGGGTGGATGCAGCGTCGGCAATATATGGATTTTTAAGCCCAAAGCGTCGCCGGCCATTTTAAAGATGCGTCGCCGGGTAATTTTTAATGAAAAGCCATTTACGCTGAGTAATGACGAACTATTTACAAGCCACGAACTTATTACAAGGTTGCATGCACGTGTTACCCCAAATAACTAATTTTACCCTAAAAACAGTCCGGTTGTACAGCAAGTGTCAACTGAACAAGTAATAAAGCTGTGTGACCGCTCTAATGCAACCAAAACTACGCAATCGAAAAAATGTTGTTTACATTTTTTGCGGGAACTCATCGCAACTGATTTCCGGACAAGCTTCGCTGCATCGTAATCCATCCAACGTACCGGAAACCTTACTTTTTTCTAAATAGTTGGCTGAAGACTGAGAAATATATTAAACGCAAGAATTTCAATCTAAATGTGTCAGCAAGATCTTCTGAAGGCGAAAATTTTGCCGATAATGCGTTGCCGTAGGTCTTTAAATCTTCGTTCACTCTCTGCACAGTGGAGTAATGAAATACGTAAAAAAAAACTTTTCAAAAAACCACATTTTTCTTGTGGACTAAAAAGTAGAAAATAAAGTAAGGCTCGCCCCAAAAAACGTGTGTTGGGCAGACGCAGATTTATGATTAAAGCAAAAAGCACACAACACACAAATTTTGGAAATTTGATGGTGAACGTAAAGCCCGACCCACGTTTTTTGGGGCAAGCCATAATTTATTTTCTACTTTTTAGTCCACAAGAAAAATGTGTTTTTTTTAAGTTTTTTTACATATTTTATTTTCTCCTTTTTAGTCCGTTGCTACACATGAAAAACATTGTTGCAAGCCAATTTACTTGACTTGACGTACGTATAGATGATATACGCAGCGTCAGCGCCTGCTCGTCTATAACGTGAGCGCCCGCACGTCATACTATATATATATATGCTTTACTCAATTAAGCTAATTTAGGTCTCTTAATTGCTAGTTTTTAGGATTGCATCTGAAATTGTTAGGCAAAAATAGCCTGCATGCCAAATTTCAGAGCTCTAGAGCAATCAGAAGTGGGCTAATTTTTGTTGTCAATGTTAACAACAAACAAACAAACAAACGCAAAGCTGAGTAAAGAAAAACATGTTAAAAACATACCTGTAACAGAAAGGAATGTTCTAGTGACAACCATCATATTTTTTAGAGAAATAAATCATAGTTTAGGTCAATTACTTTTCATTTTATGTTGCCTGGTGCAAAATTCTATGTATGGCATTCTCTGCACAATTTTTTGATGATCAATGATGTATTGATTTTTCATTGAGTGCAATTTTTTTTGCTGAGCAAGCCAGCAAGGTAAATAATCAAATATTTTTTTGTTGTTAATTGATTTTTTCATTAACTGGAGCCTTTGCTGATCAAGGTTCTATTGTGAATGCATTTTCAGGGGTGTCTCTTATTACCCTGGCGGGGATGGGGGGGTTGTGGGGTTGTCCCTCATTACTCCGTCCTGTGTGTGCAACTTTTATGTACCATAAGTAAAATTTTTTGTTACGCCAAATATTTTTTTTTGCTACAGACCTTAGCAGAGGTACATTTCCAAAATCTCACTTTTCACACTTTTTCACGGATTTTTTAGAGGTACCATATGTAGTGATTGTATGATTTCTTACATAGATTTCTTTATGCTACATAGATGTTAAAAATGTTGAACTTTAAGCCACTATTTATAGTTTTGTTATATTTTGATTAGTTTAGCTGCTACAACATTTCTACGATGTGTGGGATGACTGTCTCAATTTACCCCGCCCATCCCTTATTACCCTGTTTGACGGTAGTGAAGCTATTTGAGAATGATGCGACGGAGATCCTCAGACTAGCGGCAGCCTTGCATGAGATCACTGTACCGTACAGCTTAGCATAGCAGTGCCCGGTAGGAGGTGTATCATGGTAGGCCTTCTGATCCAATTTGGTTATATAAATGTGAGAAAATATTACCTATCCAGAATTCCATGCTGGATCAGTAAGATGCTAGTTTTATTGAAGACTAGAACAGGATGGAATTCTAGAAATTATGTTTAAAATATTATTTTTGATGTCCCTTGGCTACTTTTTTGGTCTAAAATCTTTAGTTAGGATAGAAAAGATAAAAATTGGAGGAATTAAAGTTGCACTTTCAATTACACTAAATAATGGTAGTTTATTAGCAATTTGTCTCTAAGTCAAACACAACAAATTAACCTTCACAATTTAATAACAAATCATACTATCAATAAGAGTTTAACACAATGTACATTGTTGAGGTTATTTTAAGGTGCAAAATCACATACCGGTACATGTGTATGCAATGAAAGCATGCACTCAAACTTGTAAGTTATATCTGGATTCTGGATGTCAGTGTGGCAGTGCATTTTAATACCTAGTTGCCAATTTGATTCTTACAATTACTAATGGCTATCTAAGTGAAAAGAACCTATTAAGCAGTCTCATCTGCCACTCATGTTCAGGCATCACTGGCAATCTTTTTGTTTGATGTACATAGTAATGAAGTGGAATGGTCATTGTTGTGTTTAAGCCTCAAAGCCTCGAAAATATATTCAGTTCATGTAAATTAAATTTGCATAATTTTTGATGGTGTAAAATATATTAGGACCATTTTGTATATACTTTAATGACTATAGAACTTTAGTTTTCACTTGTATATTCAAGAACAGTTTCTGAAGTAGGAGTGACATTTCTATCCCAATACCGTAAACTGGGGTAACTTTGACTCCCAGGGTAACTTTGACCACTTTTGTTTTTTTAACAAAAACCCCCAAAACTCAAAAACCATTTGACATAAAAAAATTTTGTCAATGGGCATTAAAGACCTAATACTGAGGCTACGTAACACAATAGAAAGATTTAAAAAGTTTGCATATCTAATAGGTTAAAAAATTAAAATGTGACCCACAAAAAAAAACTATTTTTTAAAGCCTGTCAGAGTACCCCCTCCAATTTTTTTATTTTTTGGCAAAATAACTCCAGGTTTTGATGCATTGTATTAGAACTCTTCTAGTTACATATGCAAAAGACAAATTTGAGAAAAGTGTCATAATTTGCAAATGGGGGCGCCACCCCCCAATGGGGTAACTTTGACCACCTAATGGCAGCCGTGATGGGGTAACATTGACCGGCTTGGAAATTAAGTTAAAATTATTATGTAACTAGAAGAGTTCTACTACAATGCATGGAGTTATTTGGAGTTATTTTACCAAAAAATAAAATTGATTTTACCACCCGGTCAAAGATACCCCCAGAGCTGGGGTAAAAAAGACCAGCATTTTTTTTTTAATTACATCAAAACTGTGAGAGGCAGGAACCAGCAATTTATGGTGAGTAAAGCTAGAGTATAGACCTGTATTTTGCATGTTTTAATTTAAGTTTAACTTATCTAGTAGAAAAAATGGTATCATTTTGAAAAAAAAGTGGTCAAAGTTACCCCAGTTTACGGTATATAAATTGGATTTATAAAATACTTAACAAATCCATTCATTGTCATTTGATTTGGGTTGTATGAACAACAATTCTACCTTTGTTCCCACAATGCTTATTTGTACTGGCTGCAGCCGTAGATCAACATGCCAAAGCCATCACACCAACGCATGCATTGGGTAGCTGCATAAGCATTGCATAGTTCTGCCACTGATTGGTCAATATAACCTCAGAAATCATTGAGCATTAAAATCACAAACAACTCTTGCTTACTTGTTTAAATGCTGGTCCTATAAGCTGTGATTTAGGTGCTTTTCCCTACAAATTTTTAAACTGAAACCATTTCAAATAAGATTTCTGATATTAATAACTGATCATTATTTTTGCATCATATACCTATCTATTTTGTTTATTTACCAAATTATTAATTTTGAATATGTGAATTTTTGAGATTGAAATTCTGAAGGCATCACTGCTAAGGCCACTGCTATTATATCTGGACACTTATAAGGAAGTGCATAAATTTTGAAACCACTTTCCAACATTTAAAACTCAATGTGGATTAAATCTATTTTTTGTAAACTTAAATTTGACATTACCCAAACAGGGAGTTGTTCACTGCAGTTACAATGTGCCACATGCCATAAAAGAATTGAAAAGAATATCTACCTTTGATAATTATTTTTGCTTCTATTATTTGCAGGAAATAGGTCAAAAATGTTGTAGTAATGACACTGAAGGTGTAGCATTTGAACCTGTTAACACCACAGATGTGATGTTGGCTGCAAGGATTGTACGGATGATACGCAACAACATTGTGGCGCTAGTGTTATCTGGCGCATTCATCCTTTATTGTTGTGTAGTTTTCTTTGACAATGTAAGTATAACTGACTAGTATATACATTCCTCAGAATTGCTTGAATGAGTAAGTACATTTATATATGCAAATAAATAATTGGGCCCTTACAAATCTATTTGAACTGTAATAAAGTTGTTATGAAATTCTCCATACAAGTTCTACATAGTACTGCTCAGATCAGACAAGTTAGCAGTTTCTTTCTTTTCTTCAGCTTGTTTTTTGCATTTGCTATTCTATGTGATTGTGCAATATACTTGCAGGGTGTTCTGGATGATTGATTTTTATTGGTAATTTCTTTCTTATTTGTCATTGTTTGAAGCTTACTCAGCCATGGAACTAGCCTCAATCTATACAAGGGATCTCAGTTCTTTTTATATTCATCGAGTGCTGGCAAGGAGATATTTTTGCAAGCAGTCAGCAGAGGAATGGAGGCATCTGGCATTGAATATGTTTGAAAATATAGGTATAGTTGTTTGAAAATAAACTGATGCTAAGGCAATGTATTGGAAATGAATAAAAATATTCTTTTATTGGTAGTACATATATGAAATGAAGGAGCAGTAATATTTCATTAACTAAAATGACTGATGTAAATTTTAACATGATTAATAATACTTGTCTCTGGTTTCTAAAGTTTCAATAAAGACTTTGCCATCATTTCAGAAGTTAGCATGTTTTTCTTAAGAGGAAGAATAACGTACATATTAATTTGAAAATAAAGTTTTAGCTGCAAGATTTTTTAGAAAGTGGAAAATTATGAAAGTTATCCCATCATGATGTAGATTTTTCAATTTGTAGTTTTTATAATTAGGGCATAAGTATTAGGTAGTTTGATTTTTTATGACTCCTCCAATTTTAACTAATGGCATTCAAATGGGAATTTATATAGATATAGGATTCTTGGCATTGTACATAAATTAAAAAAAATATATATCAAATTTTTCCCTAGTAGGTAATAATAGTAAAACAATTTTTTTTTTGCTGTTAGTGCATAGTTGGGGTATGGTCATGTTCTGCTAGAGTTATATTCTTGTATATAGATACAGTACTTTTTCTTGTGACTGTGAATGGATATGAGGTATTGACACAGCTTCTACGTGGGTTATGAACTTATGATAGACTAATTTTTTATATCAAAAGTAACACTATCCCATGCTTTTATCATAATTTATGATAGCCATCTTGAATAGATTATTATCCTTTGATGAATGCACTTATTCAGTATACTGGTATATGGTAAATCTTAGCATCTCAACTGTTTTTTCAAAATTCTGACTGATATATTCTGTATTTCCTGTTCCACAAAGACATAATTCAGTATGATTATCAATACAGAATTGGTGTTATAAGCCAATTAAAAATGTATTGTGTTGCTTGATTTATTTTTTCTGACTGTGCAACAGATTGACTAGCATATATTTTACAGACTTTTTCGTCGCTGGACAACAAAGTAACAGGAGACCCAGACATCAGCGTCCGACAGAAGGAGTTCCAATGGGACCTGCCGACTGAAGGGCAGCCTTGGGGTAACTCCACTCAGCCAAGTGTCATTACATGCAGGAATTCTGTGCAAGGAAAAGCACTGCTTGCTGATGACAGAGGTAAATAAGATGCAATTTTTGCTTTTCTTTCACTTATCCTATATCCGGCTATTTGATCTAATTGCTTCCTCAAGGAAACTTTTTAGTATTTGAATTTTTTTGGCCATTCATGTTTGAATTAAGGCCCCTAATTTTTCAGCATTGCATTTTAATGCCATTCAGTTCTTCAGAGATCTTCATGGTCATTGAATCAATCTCATTAAAAGTGAGGTGTTCAAGCATAGGAATTTGTGAAGTACATTTTTTTTCACATGGTATGCCATGCACCCTTAAAATTTGTTAGGCTCATGTTACTCTCCTATTCATTACAGATTTTTTTCCATGGAAAAATAAATTCATATGCAGTATTTGAATATCATGTATTTTATCATATGATGATTGAAAAGTACCTACTACTTGAAATGCATTTTAAATGTAACTTGTGCTCCAGGTTATGTGTGCCAGCGCTCAGACCGCCTTGGCAGCGGATGTTGTGACCCAACAGCAAGCAACACATTCCGGCACCATTGCCTGACGTGCAATTCTCAGCACTGCTGTGCCATCTACGAGTACTGCGTCTCCTGCTGCATGCATCCTGACAAGGTGAAATTACATGCTGATAATATTAATATGCCTGGATAAAGGCATCTGGTGATATTGCTTCTAGAAAAGGTAATATTGCAGTCAGACGAGGTGACGTTGCATCCAGACGAGGTGACATTGCATCCAGACGAGGTGACGTTGCATCCAGACAAGGTGATGTTGCATCCAGCCGAGGTGTTGATGTTGCATCCAGACGAGATGACGTTGCATCCAGACGAGGTGACGTTGCATCCAGACGAGGTGACGTTGCATCCAGTCTTCTCTGGAATGGTCCATGAGGCAAAGATAATGAGCCTGTAACTGGTGATCACTAAGAAGAATATCCTGCGTTTATTTGATCAATTAATAATTACCGACCGTGCATTGATAATTAAAATGTAAGTACCGGTAGTTATAGATCAATACTGGCATTAATTCAAGTACCATTGTATATGTTCCTGGAATACCATTTTATGGCTCTGATCACACGTCAGAAGAAAAAGTAGGAAGCATGAAAGATATTTTAAAATTCAGTGAAATAAAATATTTCTTACATACGGTATTGTATAATTTTTTGACAGAACACTTTGCTTAGCAAAGGTACAACCCCGAAAAAAAGAATTTACAGACATTATTACCATTATTATCATTCCTGTAATACGATTTTATTACTCACCAGAAGAGTCTGCTGAAGCGGGTGCTGAAACAGGTGAGCGAGGGTTCCCCGCTGTACGCGTCAGTCTCGGACCAGTTCGAGCTGTGCCTCGTCAAGTGCCGCACTTCCAGCCAGTCCGTGCAGCACGAGACGCTCTACCGCGACCCTCGAGCTAAACACTGCTACGGGGAGCGCCTTCCCGCCCTTCACGCCGACGCCGACGCCTAGTGCCCACACTCAATGCTGACGCCTAGTGCCCACACTCAGGGCTGTCGCCTAGTGCCCACACTCAATGCTGACGCCTATTGCCCATAATCAATGCCCACGCTGACGTGTAGTGCCCACACTCAAAGCTCTTGCTGACGCTTGAGTTCATGCCCGACATACTGACGCTGACACCTTAGTCCCCGCCCTACAAGCCGACTATGACACCTAAATGTCCGCCTTACATGCCGAGTCTGATGCCTTGGTCCCAGGCCTACATGCCGACTCTGACGCCCAGCATGCCGACTCTGACACTTAATTTCTGCTTTATATGTCGACTCTGGCGCACTAGTCTCCGGCCTGTATGCCGACTCTGACACCTTAGTCCTCGCCCAATATGCCGACGCCGTTGCTTGAGTGATGGCACTTGGAAACACGTCAGGCACGCCTGTTGTGTCGCCGTTGCTGTACCTTCGCGCCGGCTGCGCTCCAGTTGTGTGCCTCTCCGAAATGTTATTCCGTGTGTACACAGCTGCCCTGTTGTGTACATATGAAAACGATTGAATCTCCCTACCTTGCGCATTCTTGCATCATCAATATCAATGATTAAATCCTCATCATCATTTTCTTATAGATCATAAATCATGCGTCACAAGTTTTTATTCTCAGTTTAATTCATTCGTTTAGTCTTGAAATTTTTGAACACATTTAGTATGTTTCACTGTTTATTTTTTGTGTGCGTTATTTATTCAGACTTACATTTAACCTTCTGTGTTCGTTAAACTCGAGCTGAAGCAGAACTTCTATATGCTTTTCATCGCATGATTTTTCCACTGTTGCAGCCAAAAGTATGGCTTCGTAAGTGCCTCAACTTCACCAAAACATTCCTGAGACACTAACTGCAAATTAGAGCCTTTGTTACTGACCGTTTTTCGAACTTGTACGTATTGCACTCCGTTGAGACCATTATTTACCGTCTGGCTTGAAAATTTTTATTCCTATCATATGTGAAATTAACTGCAGTTTTGAAACAACTCGCCAAAAAAGTTAGCAAGTCGTAAGAAACATGGCTGGCCCCGCAAATTATGATTGATAATCTCATTACTTAAATCATAAATATCTTGAGATGGCTACATGAAAAGCGCTGATTGCCAGGACCTTTGGTGACGTATAATGCTCATCGCGGTTTTATCGACAGACTCGAATATATTTTACTTCGTCCTGCGGCAGTAGACTAAACATACTAATGGTTTAGCGACTCCTTTCTTGATTAGCAGGCTGTTTGCTTCTGCTCGTGAATTGTGAGTCCGAGTATTGTGGAGATGTTGAAGATGTGGTGAAATAAGGATCAAAATTCAACGCACCAAGCAGAAAAACTAACGCTGGCATACTGAAAGTGATCAAATTTGTGTGTATTGATGTCTATCAGGCCTACTAGTACAACTCACGCTAGTTGCTGCTTTGCCAGTTCTGACTAACTATGAAGAAGAAATGACTACTTATTGTTTAGAAGGCGACGAAGGGAATGCATTCAAAACTGTTCATAAATACTGTTTTGTGCTACAATCCTTGATGTGAAGCTTGGGAGGGCAAAAATGAATACTTACCAAAGCTGCACCACTAGGTTGCATCCATCTTTTAAGTTTAACTTTGTTTCGAATGTTAAATTGCACGCTTTTTAAAAACGCTTCTGAAATTTTAGTCTTCCGGAAATATTTGTGCTTGTGAGACTTAGTGTTGAATTCCCGTTTCACGTTGTCATTCATATTAGTTGTTCGTTAAATTATTTTCTTACCATGACGTGATTCTCGAGTCGAATCGATGTTTTAAAGTAGTTCAATATCATAGGTAGACGAAGTAACTCGTGACTCTCATCGTTTATCAGTTTATCTATGTTGAAGGATAGCAAGTGAAGTATCGGATTACTTGGCCATTAAATATTAATTGTTTTTTCGCATTTTAGTTTGTGTAATTCAGAGCTCCTGTTCATCATTAGTTTAGAGATGAGTATTTTTTAAGAGAATCGTCTTTTATTGATTTGGTCAATAGAAAAAGGTCCGCGTAGTTGTGTTATAAGCGAAGTTTCTTCACACGTGTTTGAAATGCGAAGCTAGCGTTGGATTTTGAATGACAAAACGATAGTTCTGAAATTATTATTTTTTTTTATTGTTACTCTCAGTTCAAATCTATTCATTTTTACTTTCTTTCTATTGTAGATGCGAAATAAATACAATACAGAAATTAAATCTTTACACGGTAAGTTAACGTTTCTATAGGATCAATCAATTAATTTCAGGTGATGCTGGTCATATTATTGCTAACAAATTGAATCCCTGTGCAATTTAACGTTATTTACTTACTAATGGAAGCGTTAACTTGCCTGCCAAATGCGACTCGTACTTTCGTTTGTGAAGCTGAAATGCGTTCAGTTCAGACTGCTGTACTGCTTTGAAATAGGGATGATATGTAAGCTTTGCCGATTTTAAATCGCCTTTGGCATCGATTGCCTGATAAAGTTTTGTTATTGGAGGTCGGGAATTGGTGCTGTGTTTAAAAGTTGTAAACACGAGTTTTTTTTACATAATTGACTCTCATACTCATGTACGTAGACGTTGTAAGGGTGGAAATGAATAACGTATTCTCTAAATCTTGTCTGTACACTGAGAAAAATGATCGACTTGGTCCGAATAGCGGTGCTCTTTTTCGCCCCCTTGTATTTTGAATCGGCATTAGGACGTATCAGTGCTACGTCCAATATATGCGCTTGCTGTGCAATTAAATATGCCACTGCGTGGACGAAATGACGTATTCATTTTACTGAGTGTACAAGAAAATTTAAGTGCGACTGATTGGCCCCGAACGAAATTAATTTGATTGTCAACTATGTTGGATTGTGGTTCAGTAAAAAATATTTTTATATGCTTAAAAATTATATTCTACTTTTATCGAGCAGCTACGCGTTTGTGGCCTCCACTTATGACCAAAGAAATGACTAGAGTTAAAAAAAATCAGACATTGTAAGGCAGTTACGAGTTCTCATGCCAGACTATACAGCGTTAATATTTGTCGACTATCTCTTATTTTGTGCGACGGACCCAGAAACTTGAAGATAGTCAAATTTTTTTGATAAATTTTGCGTTGTTACTCTTATCTTGTTTAAGAGGATTTATTACATTACAAATATCTGTTTGAATCTATATATAACTTTTTTCCGATTAAGGACTGTTATATTTAGCTCCATTTGTAAATTATTTTGTTAAGTGCTGAAAGTTGGTACGTATAAAGGATTTTTCTGATCACATATTTTCGAACAGCCATTTTCGAAGGTAGAGAAATGAAGAATTGTTTACAAAACGAGCTCACAATAACAACATGTAGAATCCAAATTTGGAGTATTTCCATTTAACCCTGTATCGCCTGACACGAGTAAACGGAGCACTATTGTCACGCGCCTACTCCCCAAAAAGGATACGTTCTAGTGAGCGCAAAATGACTTGCACTGATGGTTGCCGCCACGTACGACAACTTTAAAATGTTCTCTGTTGCGTACAAACGTCCTCAGGTTGCTACACTAAATAGTTTACGCATGATATAATTTGGAAGTTATGTTCCCGGAGAGTGACATATACGGCGGTAGAGGGTTAAGCCAATCTCCTTACGATGAATTGATTTACTTTAAGAAAACGGTGCGTGATAAAGACTCGTTTTTCATTACCAGGAAATTCAACGCAAACTATTTGTGCATTAACATAAAACTGTTTAGATGAACTCTGAATATAGCTGTTTAAAATTAACGGGCTTCTTTTTTTAATTATCCGAAATGTTTTTTCTTGCAATTGTGCTTATTATCAGACATTTTTACCAACATGAATTCTTCTTTGAATAAAATTCGAGGAATTTAACTAACTGCCTCATACCCTTATGTAAAAAGAACATTTTAGAAGTATGATCTTTATAGTGATGTTTTGCGCACATCGGCCATTCTCACGTTAAATTACGAAATTTTATCCCAATATTTGTCCAAGTTAAAATAACTCCAACTCGGCTTGCCGGCATGCGTTGAAACTCGATCGATCGAAGAGGTCTAGCTAGATCTGCGTATGTGACAGATCACAACTGGGGAAAAAACGCAGTAAGTGTTGCGATAAAAAGCTCTTCAAACGTCAAGGCTTTTTCCAGCGTTGAACAAGAAGTATCACCATTGATCGTCGTCTTTGTAATAATGTTATAGCGGTGCCAGCGTTGGTTGGGCCATCAGGTCTGTCGCCGATAACGAACTTCGGAGAACTTTTCACAGCTTGTTGAAGGTCTGAAACACACAACTCACTGCTCCAGTTGTGCTGTACTTGACCCCCTGGGCCTATACTTTCAAAAAAAGTTAAGAGATCCAAGTTAACCAGCCAATCAGTGACGGCCTTTCCAGCAAAATCCACCAATCATAGACAAGAAATAGAGCGTAAGTACTTACGTTCACTTAGCAAGTTTTGAAAGTATGGCCCCTGCGCCATGTCTATTTAACCAGAACTGTAGCAGGTAGCTGGGATCGAACCCACAACTCACTGCTCCAGTCTTGGTACTCTGAACTATAACCAGTGGGTGACGTGGACCTCAGGCAAAACAGATTCAGTGGGCCGTTCAAGAAGGAAGTAAGCAGCGACCTGACCGCTCCAATTAAGTGACAGTTCACACCCAACGTAAATTATTTACTCTTTGGCGCGAGGATAAAGTAAATTAAATACATGAGTGAAAAATATAGACGAACACGGCAGAAATATATTGATTTCTACGCTGAACAGCCTACTGAAACCTAAAATTATTCGAGATCTTTATATTGCAAAAAAAGTCAGTTCTTGATAGCTTATCTGCGTGTCTGCTTATTAGCTCTGGAAACTCGACGATGACGAGGCATTTACGTTTTTGATTTTACCTCCCAAATATTTAAAGGCAAATAAAAAATAATTGTATTACTTACCCCGAGTAAAGCAGAAAATCAAGAAACAACAACAGGACACCAATTGCGTTTCTTTCTTCTTTTTTCAAGTAAAGACTTCAAGTTCAGAAGCATTACTCAAGTTACAGGCTGACATTTAGAGCTGATGGAGTACGGTATAAATGTGCAAATTTTTTATTTGTAATAAAAATACGGCCTTAAGTCATTCTTGTGTGTATCTAACCTTTCTCTCATCACAAAAAAAAATCGAATTTCTAGAAATACTTAGCAACAATATCGAAGCTTGCCAGCTGTCGACAAGTGCAACGTGCACAATTAAGCTATTTAATCACAAACCTGGCCACCTAATTTCTGATGTACTGCGTGAACTTATGGAAGTTCTCAGCCACTGCCCCCATGACGGCATTAGCGGATTCATGCAACACACTTAGTATTTTAGACGAAGCTTGTTCGTCTGTCAAGTCAAGATGAAATCTTTCCTCGACTTTCTTGACAGCTTTCTCAGGCTCTAGTGCGATATCAGGTACACTCGCATCTATCATTAGAGAGAACAAATTCAAAACCAGGTTCGCATGACGTCTCAAGCTGAGGAAAGTAGTGCGACACAACTGACGGAACTGATGATATTGTTCACTTGTTTGTCCGCCCAAACCATCAGTAATTTCCCGGCTTAGTTTGATGAGGGGCGGTAAAGGTTTAGGGTCGCGGCCCAAGATGTAGCCAAAATCGATGTGGAAGAAGCAGCCATCGGCCGTGAGCATCAAGTTGTCGTGATGGCGGTCGCCCACGCCCAGGATGTAGGTGATGATGCAGTAGCCTGCGCAGCTGCGGATGTAGTTGTCGAGCACCTGTGATAATGGGAGTAATGAAAATGATATTGCAGTCATGTTTAATGCAATAAGAGGTGTAAGCAAAATGATAATGAAGCCATGTTTAATGTAATAAGAGTTGTAAGAATTAGGATATTTTTAACATACTTTATCGGAAAATAAAAAAAATTATTATTAAAATTAATACTTGCATTAGTAAAAGATAATCAAGGTGATGTTGCATCCATATTAAAATCGGGAAAAGAACCAGGAACGTTGCAATAATAAGACATATACATATGCCTATGTATAAGACATAAAATAATACGTTTTTTACACTTAGATAACTCGTTTGATTTAATCGTTAACCAAAAGATTAATATAATAGCGTCTACATTGCCGAGAGGCAAAAATTTTCAGATATTAACTCGGTTATAAGTAAATGTATATTACTAATGCATTACATACATAGTTTCTCCATTGGTTTTGAGTTATTACTTTTATATAAGTCTTGTATTACTTGTATATTACTTGTGTAATAAAAAATATGCTCCTGACCTGCGGAGTGATGCCCAAGGGAGCGTCCGGATCCGCGTGTCTGCGCTTCAGGTAATTCAGCACCGACGCGTCGTCCCGCAAAATCTGATCAATTCCGGGAAATGAAATCCAATAAATAATTTGTACCAATAATTGAATAGCTGTAGCAGAAGATAAGATAATGCATGGAGTGAAGAAGACCCAAATAACGCATACAAACAGCTTCTTCGTTCCAAAACACTATGTGTTAATACTCAAAACTAGATGTATTGCAATATATTATGTTATCATAATAATAAAATAATAAACCGATAAGTTATTATATTGAAAACTGACATAAAACTTAAAGATAACTTTAAATACTAACGTAAGCAATAACGGCAGCATCAATGAACTGCACGAATTTCGAAGTTCAGACTTCAAAACTGATAAAGTTCGTATAATAAACTGACGTTAATGAACTGAATTAGTTCTTATCATAAACCAACGATAATGAACTGATAAAGTTCTTATAATAAACTGACGATAGTAAACTGATAAGTTATAATGAAGATAACACTTAGTACTAACGTCAGCAATAACGGCAGCATCAATGAACTGCACGAAGCCGTGGTTGGGGGCCGTGGCCAGCACGCGGTACGGTGTCAGCTTCAGGTCCAGGTTCTCCCTCAGCAGCAGGCGCTCCATCAGCGTGATCAGCTGCACTCATTAGCAAAATTTTATTACTTACTTTCATTTTAAAATATAGATCAAGGAGGGGAAGAAATCAGAACAATCAAATTACCGTAACAGCAACGCTCCCTTAGCGTAATCAGAGGAAAGGAAATTCTTGATTAACATTTAATTATTTCTTCTATTAAATTACAGTACGAACCAGAAGCTGGAACAATTAAATTACAGCTGTTCTAGGCGCTTCCTTAGCGCGATCATCAACACGGAAATTACTGGCTAAAGATATTTTTTCGATTAACATGAAAACTAACGCACACCAACATTTGTTAGCATAACTTGACAGCAAAGACGTAATCTCTGTCTGTGATAAAAATTACAAAGCTCAATAGTGCACTACAACGAATCAGTAACATTGATGGTATAAAGATGACGGGTATGACACTGGGCATAATGGTTATAGTTATAATGTGATATGTAACGTGTTCTATGTGATTTTTACGTGTCAGTAACTGGAATAAATATTGTAAGACATGTCCCGTATCGTCATTCGTACGTACCAGTAAGCGGGATATGAGGTTTACTAGCATCTACCTGGGACACTGGGATACAGTCTGCTGTCCTGCCGCAGGTCGCCACCTCACGCACCTGCAGGATGAGCTGGTCCTGCCGCAGGTCGTCGCCTCACGCACCTGCAGGATGAGCTGGTCCTGCCGCAGGTCATCACCTCACGCACCTGCAGGATGAGCTGGTCCTGCCGCAGGTCGTCACCTCACGCACCTGCAGGATGAGCTGGTCCTGCCGCAGGTCGTCGCCCACTTTGAAGATGGTCTTGTAGGGCGGGCCGGGGTCCAGCGTCCTGAAGCTCACGGTGCAGGGCTCCAGCGCAGACTTGAACACCACGACGCTGTCGTAGTCGATGCCGGTCACCAGCACCTGACGGGGATGTGATTGTTAATTAATATTATTATTAATTGGATTTATTTTTATTGAATAATATTATTATTTATTTATAGTTAATAATGACCTTGACATATGCTTGGTTTTATGATATTTATACAACACAGTGAGCACCTGACGAGGGGGGGAGGTATCTCTTTGTAGAATAATAACCAAAATAATATTGTATAATTCATATCTTATTTATAAACTATTATAAGTTGCTGTATAATATAAGTAATAATAATAATAATAGCCTGACTTTCCCTTGACAGGCAAAATTCAAAATAAACTAGTTCTACGGCTGAATAATTATAGCTTATAAGGTCCTATAGGTGACAGAATAATTAAATAGAATTATTAAAATATGCTTCAGTAACACAGCTTTGCTTGATTCGACAGAACGCATATATTTACATTTTATTATATTCTCATCATATTTCATTATATTGTCACAATTAGACTTGGATGCTATTAATTTTTCAGGTCAAAATAAAAAATTTTGAAAAAAAAATATCAACACCATAAAATATTTAAATATAATTAAAAATACTCAATTTAAAGTCAAGCGTAAAACCTACCTTAGGATCAAGTGGGAGAGGCAGCGGCTGTGGGAAGGTGGCGAGGTTCAGCACAGGATCGGCCAAAGTGTTCTTTAGGAAACGAACTTTCTGCTCCCTGTTGAAGGATTTACTCCTCATCTCCTGCACGTGAAAATACAATTAGGAGGGTAATCCTGCACGTAAAAAATACAATCAGGAGGGTATATCATGCAGGTGAAAATACAATTAGGAGGGTAATCCTGCACGTAAAAATACAATTAAGAGAGTAATCCTGCACGTAAAAATACAATTAGGAGGAGAATACTGCCTTTAAAAAAATCCATCAATGAGGTGAACGCTGCAAGAAAAAAATAATCTCACATGAATTGGGAAAATAATCTTGGGTGAAATTTTCTTCTATCTATATGTCCGACGTTATGTTAAACAGACAATTTCAGGGACATGCTTGAAAATTAAATTATTTCGAGCAGTTATTGACCTTATGGGATGATACAAAGACAGCTACCGGTACAATGCAGTCGTTAATTTATTAAGAATCAAACTAAATCTACCATTACGCGGGCATTTAGCCATCATGATTAGACATCACGTTTGGGCGGTGTGTCTGATTATCAACTCAGGTCTCAGGGCATCGTTGGGGTCTGCGGTCAGATTCAAGTCCTGGAGTTTGGGTTCTGATAAGCGGAGATTGTGGGTTCGGGTCATGGAGTTTGGGTTCTGATAAGCGGAGTTTTTGGGTTGGGGTTCGGGTCCTGGAGTTTGGATTCTGGTAAGTGGAGTTTGGGTTCTGATAAGCGGAGTTTGTGGGTTCGGGTTCCGGGGTTTGGGCTCGTATCCTGGGGTTTGGATTCAGAGATGAGGTTGTATGGAGTTCCTGTCTGGTTCGGGTTGGGTCTTGTATTCGAGTCTAGAATTGGGTATACGGTAGGCTTTGGGGTTGGGGTCTCACGTCCGGTTCTTAGGTCTCGGGTCTCGTGTTCGGTTCTAGGGTCTAGTGTCTATATCTCGACTGACCTGGACCATGGCGACGAGACGGCTGACGAGCTGGTCTTGTCTCGCGAGACAGTGCGCCGTCTTACGAGCTGCAGGCTCTCCAGACCTCAGCGTGGCCATGAGGCTGTCCAGCGCGTGCTGGCAGATCACGTTCTGTTCCCCTCGGTGCTGAACATTAACATTTCTATCAATAAAAATAATCAATAAAATGTTATACTTGAAAGTATCGAAATATTTTTCATTATATCTGAACGTTGCTTGAAAGTTCAAGTGAAGTTAACAGAAAGAATCTTTCTAAATTTTTCATGTTTGTACATCACATTTTGCTCGTTGCGGTGCTGCACCAAAGAGTCATAATGAAAACGGAGGAAATAACATGAAAGTTATTAGTATTAAATGTTACAGAGCTCAAAACATTAAATGAATAAATATAAAATTACCTAGACCTTGAAAGTAAACATGTCTGGACTAATTTACATGGTACAACAATTCGACAATACCCTGAAAATAGGTGAAATTATTACAGGAAATTACTGCAAGAATCGTCAATGCTGTGTGGCTGGTGTTCTTCCACTTAGCATTTCGATTCACTTCATTGCTAGATTAGTTCAGTAAATCTACTATCACAAATTCTAAAAAAATTATATGTAAGTGTGGTAATTTATCTTACACACATAAACCTTATTGGCTTGCATTATTAGGAAATAAATACTACAACAGATGCAGCAGCAGAACTTGAAGATAATGCACAAGTTCGGTTTCATTCAAACTAAATTGGTTTTGATTATTATTTATCCAATAAGAGTACGTATAATACCTCTTGCTGCTGCTGCCTGCCGCTCTCACACTCCACTTTAAGGAACCAGTAAAGGGAGGACGCCAGCAGCAAGTTACTGGACGCCCTCAGCACCAGGAGCTCGAGCAGCCCTCCGCCGTGTTCTGTATGCATCAGGTTCAAAGTAAATGTAGGAAACGTACGAATGGAGCTTAATTAAGTGAAAAACGGCCATGTTCTGTATGCATCAGGTTCAATGTAAATGTAGGCAAACGTACGAATGGAGCTTAATTGAGTGAAAAACGGCCGTGTTCTCTACGGAGGAGGTTCAATGTAAATGTAGGCAAACGTACGAATGGAGCTTAATTGAGTGAAAAACACACATACCTAGAGGACAATTTAGCGGGAAATTAAAAGGGGAGCGCTATTTAGCGGCAAAATTGTAAGTGAAGCACGATTAACCTGAAAATTAGCAGCAAAATGGAGAGAAAAAAAAAACGTTTATGATGAGTGAATTAGAACGACTTCAATTAGTATGGACAAGTAAGATATAATAAACGATCGTGAATTTGCTTACGAGGAGGTGATAGCGAAACAATATTTGTATTTAAGAAAAGAGTGAACAGCAATCAAGTTCTTAAAAAAGGCATCAAATGTATCGTCAAAACTTGAACACCATGCTTTATGTAGGTCTTAACCTGATAGTATGGAACCAATGAAAATAAAATAATAAATCGACAAAATGTAAGTGAACGACCATAAACTCTGGAATTTTCAATACTGACTAGACTAAAGTCAACACGCAGCGCGGTTTTAGAGGCAAACAATTTTATTCGCTAGGCAATTCTCGGGACGCACAAGGGCATATATTTTAATATTATCTCTTTAGCTTTGATAATCTAACTAAAAACAAATGCACCCTCTCTATGAATAATTAAATTCTACGTAATAAATACATTTTATCTAGTGTTTAAGGCCCCAGTTAAACAACAAGGAACATGCAGACATCATCGCAATGGATTAGAAAATCGTATCAAGTCTGAATTTGCAAAGCATTAATTCAAGAACATTATTCAGATTGTTGTAATGGTATAGACTCCAGTTAATTTAATGAAGTTCTAGAAAATAACAACATCACTCACATTTATAGCACTCCATATAAAGCTTCATCTAATGGCTGTGTCGAAAGATGCAATAGATCCATCATTCAACTTCTGAAAGGATTAGTCCAAGAAAAACCCCGTACATGGGATTTGCATTTACCTAAAGCCCTAATGATCCACAACCATTACTGAGGCCTTACAATAACCTTTGGTTTCAGCGTATTTTGTTCATGATTATGACTTCATAACTTGCACCACGATCACCTTCAGCCAGGCTGGTGTCAGATTATCTCGCCAACGCAATGTATAGTAGACTAACGATCATGGTCAGTACATGCTAGTGGTTCCCCGCTACATTGTTAGCACTTTATCAAAGCGTACTATGCAAGAAATAACTCTTATTTTCAAAACTTTCATAAGAGATGAATTTAACAGAATCTAAACTGAAGATGAATTCAGTAGAAACATACCAAGAGAAGACTCTGATACAAATGAACCAAGATATAAATCTAATACAAACGAACCAGAATATGAATCTAATACAAACGAACCAGAATATGAATCTAATACAAATGATCCAGGATAAGAATCTAATACAAATGAACCAGGATATGAATCTAATACAAACGAACCAGAATATGAATCTAATACAAATGAACCAGGATATGAATCTAATACAAACAAATCAGGATAACAATCTAATACAAATGAACCAGAATATGAATCTAATACAAATGAACCAGAATATGAATCTTATACAAATGAACCAGAATATGAATCTAATACAAATGAACCAGAATATGAATCTAACAAAAACAAACCGATAGATGAATATAACCTAATAATCAATGGGTTCATACAGCACTCTGCCACGTACTGGAGTTGGGGAGTCCTGTGATGGCATCAGGCAGGGGGGAGTTCTCTGGTTTGCTGGGAGTGTTTTGTGTGCCGATGATATCGAAGTCATCGGAGTAATAGGCCTCGTTGAAAGTAAAAGTTTCAGGAGAGAAGGGTTCGTATTTGAGCGCCTGGACGAGCTGAAGGAGGTATAGCATCAGGTCTTCATCGGAGCTCTCACCAAGCCTGCGTACGGCGTATTGACGCACCTCTGGCACTGTGAAGCTAGAAGCAAAACATTGTCTCTAACACGTTGACTCCGAAGTGGTACATATGCGTACCACGAAATTAATGTATTTCTCCAGGACGTAGTGGCACATAATTCAGGTTGCCTAAAAGTGGCCAAATCCGAGAACAAAAAAGGCCGATAACTCAATATATACTAGTTTATTTGTAGGTTCCACTATAAAAATTCCATTCATTTTATTTTTGCAGTAATTAGTAATTAAAAATTGAATTAGGAAGTACCCCTATCATAAATTTTAGCCGGCCAACGCAAATGAGAAAACTAAATCACGGAATTTATGCAGAAAAAAATGATCGTCTGGCAACCCTGTTTAAAAACAGTACAAAAAATGAAATAATAGTACAAGATGAAGCAATCGTAGTCAACGTGTTAAGCGTGTTAATACACCGTATACATGTTCCCTTGTAACCGTTTGTAAATACACCGCATAGATGTTTCCTTAGTAATCGTTTGTAATTGTAAACATATATAATTTTTAGATGTTCCCTATAGTAACCTTTTGATCGTTAAATCACATAGTTATTATTTCCCATTTTAAATTGAAATCAGAGAGGGACAGCTTTGACGCGCGTATCATAGTACCATACGCCAGTTTTCAAATATTATCCGGTATTTTGACAAGTTACATAACAGTTACGGGCGACAAACTGGTTAGAAATTCTATTTAAGGGCGCACATTCCTCATACGAAATAGCACTTATTACAAATAAGTCCCCGAAAATTACAAAATAAGTCCTGGTACAAAGTTGCAGTCGACCACAAATCTTACTTGCATGCATGCAGTTGTTATGAGCTACATTACTGTAAGCATATCGAAAAGTTAACATTAACTTGAAAAAATTTCAAATAGATAATGCTGTTAACGTAAAAAAAATAAATACTCTAAATGCGCAACAGACTATGCTGCATTCCTACAAGTGCGTATAGGCGATCGCATCTTACGCATACGATGGTCGTAAATTCTTGTTGGAATCAATGTCGTTGTAGTTGATGTTAAAGTAGCAAGTGTACATAGTAAAATTTGTGTATTTCTCAATTCAAAGCAGTTTCATTTTAATTTGATGAATGATAATTTTGAAATCAATACTAACGACGTAAAAGTACTTAATCAAATTCCTTACCTTCCACCCATTACTAATGCTGAAGTTATTACACTGTTAGAAAAAACGGTGAAAAAAACGGTCCCACTGGCGTTCTAGTGGCCGGTGGCCCCGTGAAAATAAACTGTTTCGCCGTTTTTATCAGATGTTTTACGGATTTCTAGTGTTAAATTAGAATAAAAACGGCGACACGGTGTTTCTTTCACGTGCTGACCGGCCACTGAAACGCCGGTATAATACCGTTAACGTTAATTTTTCTAACAGTGTACTAACGACTTAAAGGTAATTAATCAAATAGCTCACCTAGGACCCAGCAACTCCAAAGCATTCTCGGCATCAAGTACGGCCCAGGAGTTGAGCAGCTGAATGGCTTCCTTTTTCTGCTCAGGAATGGACCAGTTGATGCACTTAACAAACTTGGTGAGTCCAGACTGATGCTCGCTGAGGTAGTAGCGATGCTTCCACACCAAGTCCAATTCTGAGCCTGAGAGTACAGTAGTCGGAGGATACTCCATGATCTCGTTTAGCTTCTTCTTTATCTCGGCATTAGGACGGATGTCTCTGTCATTCAGTCCTGATCTTAACGATCTAGCGAGAGCCAAATGCTTCTTTTCAATTATGTTCTCCATGCCCGCACTTGGATCATACAGCTTGCAGTATTGACAGTTACGTTGGATTGAATAATGGGAGTTCATTCCTTGTTCGTAAAACAGAACAGTCAGTTTTTCACGACCATTTAGGAAAGTTGGGAATTCAATGTTAAGAAATAATGAGCCAGATTCCTTCTTTAGTTTATCAGTCAACTGACCAATTTCCCTGAAAGCCAGTCTGTCCATCCAGTCGATTTGTACCGTCTGTCCTCTCTCGTATTTATTGAGTTTAGCTTCAAGCTCAGCTAATCTGCTGATTATCTTCTTCATTTCAGGGGTGTCTTCTTTGTCAGGGTCCTCAACGAGCCTGATGTCCTTTTTCCCTGTCAACATTTCACCATTTTCATCAAAAACGTCTAGACTTCCCGTGCCAATGCAGTGCATCTGGCCAGGCTTTTTGCTGTCCCAGACTGTGAACACAAGTCGACTGTCTTTTGGCAAGTCACACACCAACACTGGCAACTCCAGCCATTCGTACCAGTCCCAGCGATTTGTCATCTCCACGAATGACGTTTGTGTTGACAATGAGTATGGAGAGTTTCCTGAATAGACCTGAAATGAGAAGGCATAGATATCGATTGCCAGGCCTTAACTGACAATGCCTATAACAAGAGATAGAAGGAAACTAGGTTGAAAACAAAACATTTAAGGACAAGGAAACATTTTTATGCCAAAAAATGTACAAGATAAAATTACAAGAAAGTCTTTACTACACCCATCTATTAGGATGGTGTGTGTTCTGAATGCAGAGATTATTAGCATGCATATGAAATTGTTTTATTGACTACATTGAAATAAGGCTATGACTCTAACCTTCTTTTGTATTAGAAAAAATTACAATCAATTACACTATAACACATCCCTAGACTGCACTCCACTTGAATAATATTTCCAACATTGCTTGAAATACCAAACAAATCAAAAGATAATGAACATATGGATTAGGTACTTTACTGCAGGAGGCATAAAAGAGTTTATTACATTCCTATTATTCTTTGGTGTGTTTTACCACACAATTTATAATTTTTTGTTGACATATACCAGACAAGGCCATCATGTGTATAAAAAAAATGATAATAGCAAAAATGAATAATTTAATAATTTTAGTGAAAATATGTAATGAATTCATAAACCTTTTATCAGGCTGGTATTTTATGCCAAGATATTTAATGGAAAATAAAACTTAACAATGATTGTAAAACTACCTGGCATTGGATGAGGAGATCTGAAGCTTTCTCTGGGTCAGCCCATGGTGAATACTCCAGGATAGGATCTCTGAGGATCTCCAGAGATGATGGAGAAGGTCTCTGCTTGTCTACAGAGTTTATTTTTATTCTCATGTTCATTGGAAGCTGACATGACTTCACAAAAGCAAAGCTTCCTGAATCAGAACCTTCCATGCTTGTAGGTACCTATAATACCCAATATCTTAGATAGGTAGTACTATATATTTCCTGTATATCTTTACTAAAATGAAAATGACTAAAAAGTGCCAGTCAAACAGCAAATTTTCATGGTATTTAGTACTGTAAAATGGGGTAATTTTGACCACTTTTTTCAAAATGATGCCATTTTTTATTAGATAAATTAAACTTAAATTGAAACGTGCCAAATACAGGTCTATACTCTAGCTTCACTCACCATAAATTGCTGGCTCCTGCCTCTCATAGTTTTGATGTAATTTCAAAAAAAAAAGTGATGGTCTTTGTTACCCGCCCCCCACTTTGTGGTTTCTTTGACTGGGTGGTAAAATCAATTTTATTTTTTGGTAAAATAACTCCAAATAACTCCAGGTTTTGGTGCATTATAGTAGAACTCTTCTAGTTACATATGCAAATGACAAATTTTAGGAAAGTGTCATAGTTTGCAAATGGGGGGCCCTGCCCCCCAATGGGCAAAATGTGACCACCTAATGGCAGCTGTGATGGGGTAACATTGACCGGCTTTGAAATTAAGTTAAAATTACAATATATAAGACTCTGTAGAGTCTGAAACATAAAGAAAAAACATTAATAGGTGTATCAAACATAAAATATGTTATATACATAGTAGGTACCTATGGTAATTTGAACTTAAATTCCAAGCCAGTCAATGTTACCTCGTCACGGCTGCCATTAGGTGGTCAGAGTTCCCCCATTGGGGGGCGGGGCCCCCCATTTGCAAACTATGACACTTTCCTAAAATTTGTCATTTGCATATGTAACTAGAAGAGTTCTACTACAATGCATCAAAACCTGGAGTTATTTCACCAAAAATTAAAAAAATTGGAGGGGGGTACTCCAACAGGCTTTAAATAATAGCTCTTATTTTGTGGGTCACATTTTTAATTTTTCAACCTATTAGATATGCAAACTTTTTAAATATTTCTATTGCGTTACGTAGCCTCAGTATTAGGCCTTTAATGGCCACTGACAAAATTTTTCTATGTCAAATAGTTTTTGAGTTTTGGGGGTTTTTGTTAAAAAAACAAAAAGTGGTCAAAGTTACCACGGGAGTCAAAGTAACCCCATTATACAGTATGTAGTATAAAATTCTACTCTGCAACGATAGCTCAAACCAAATAGCAAGATGAAAGCAAGTGCAAAATTTATGAAAATAGTGAGTATAAAAATGCAAGGCATGTTGTTTTGATTGGTCAAATTTGTAGAGACTAGTAATCCTAAATGAAAGTTTTTGTTTTTATTAGTCAAATAAATGTCAACCAACTCATTCATGATATTCTATATGAGAGTTTTATTAGCCAATTAAGTGATTTATCAATAAAATTTATAGATATACAAGACTGATAGAATGCAAACTTTTTTTTTGACAAACTGTAACTAAAAATCTCAGACAGCCATCTTCTTGTCAAATGAACACCCTAGAGAATATTTCAGTTAATTGTAATGACTGCCATCTGACATTAAAAAATATTTATTTTCACCACTAATATTTTGCTCATGTATGATAAATTTTATTTTGAAGCCAAGCTTGAATATGATTATAATTTAATACCATCAAACGGGGTAATAAGGGATGGGCAGGGTAAATCGGGACAGTTGTCCCACATTTCGTAGCAATGTTGTAGCAGCTAAACTACTCAAAATATTGCAAAACTAAAAATAGTAGCATAGAGATAAACATTTTTACTATCTATGGTATGTAGCATAAAGTAAGTTGTGAAATCTTACATTTACGACATCTAAAAAATCCCTAATAAAAACTGTGAAAAGTGAGATTTTGGAAACGTACCTCTGCTAAGGTCTGTAAAAAAAAATTGGCATATCAAAAAATTTTACTTACATAAAAGTTACACACAGGTGTTGGCTTAAAAACGTGATTGACAGAATTTGCATGTCTCATTCCATAAAAAAATGGCAGCCATTTCCGCAGGATGGGGTAATAAGACACACCCTCCCCAGGGTAATAAAGGACACCTCTAAGAATGCATTTACAATAGAACCTCAATTAGCAAAAGCTCCCTCAAATGGGGGGTGCCACCCCAAAATGGGGAAACTTAGACCACCTAATGTCAGCCGTGAAGGGGTAATATAGACCTGCTTGGAAATTAAGTTAAAATTACCATATATAAGACTCTGTAGAGTCTGAAACATAAATAAAAAGCATTAACACGTTCCCCGCGTATCCAGATTTCCCCAGTATTCCCTTATTGCGGAAGGCTTTCAGTGGTTGCTGCTTCAGTTAGGCGCCATTGGCCGTGACAAAAGAAGGTGTGTGCAGCTCTATGGCATCATAGCTTTGCATAGCTGCAATAAAAATGTTGGGACACATGTGGTACATTACTGGGAATAGATGGGAATAGATGGGAATAGATGGGAATAGAAGGGAATAGAAGGGAATAAAAGGGAATAGAAGGGAATAGATGGGAACAGAAGGGAATAGAAGAGAACAGAAGGAAATAGAAGGGAATTATTAGTTAGAATTTTTAGTTACTTATCGTTTGTTTAAGGAGATTTACCAATAAAATTTTGGTACATTGATTTGTTTCACTTAATAACCCACTTTTTGAGTGAACATTAATATAATAAAAGAGAAAATTTAAGTGCGAAATTTCGAGTTATATGTGTTTTTTCAAAACGGCGTAAAATACTGCGTTTGGTACACTGGTGTCCCAATACGCAGCAGTGGAATATCACTGTTGGTACACATATGGCCCAATACGCGGGGAACGTGTTAATAGGTGTATCAAACATAAAATATGTTATATATGGTAGTTTTAAATTAATTTCCAAGCAGGTCTACCATGTTACCCTGTCAGGGCTGACATTAGGTCTATCTATGGCTACTGTGCGCCGGCGGATGCTGCAGCGTTGCAAGACCGGATGTCTGCCTGCATGGACGCCGTTTCAGATTGGATGCGTTCCAACCGGCTCCAGCTTAATGCATCGAAAACTGAATTTATTTGGTTCGCGACCGCTCGGCGCCAACATCAGCTTCTGTTATTTGTTCTAGTATAGACGTCATCAGTCTTGGCATATGTCCTCTGTTTTAGCATAGATGTCATCTGTTTTTATCATCTTGTGTGTTTTAGCCGCTTGTAACGTGCCCTCGAAGTTCGATCTGAACGAGACGCCACGACAATCTCTTCGTGGAATAATAATAATAATAATAAGTTCCCCCATTCAGGGGTGGCGCCCCCCATTTGCAAACTATGACACTTTCCTCAAATTTGTCATTTACATATGTAACTAGAAGAGTTATACTACACAACACCAAAACCTGGAGTTATTTTAACAAAAAATAAAAAAATTGGAGGAAGTTCTATGACAGGCTTTAAATACTAGCTCTTTTTCGTGGGTCACATGTTTCATTTTTTAACCTATTAGATATGAATAATTTTTTTATCTTTCTATTGTGTTACGTAGCCTCAGTATTAGGCCTTTAATGCCATTGATAAAATTTTTTTATGTCGAATAATTTTTGAGTTTTGGGGGTTCAAGTTAAAAAAACTAAAAGTGGTCTAAGTTACTGTAAAATGGGGTAACTTAGACTCCCAGGATAACTTAGACAACTTTTAATTTTTTTAACAAAACTCTCTAAACTCAAAAACTATTTGACACAGAAAAATTTTGTCAATGGTCATTAAAGGCCTAATACTGAGGCTACGTAACACAATAGAAAGATTTAAAAAGTTTGAAATCAACCATGTCAAACTGTCAAAGTAACAAAATAATTTGTTATAGTTTTAGGCTTCCAAAAATATTTCAAACCTCTATCAGGAATATCATAATTAATCATTCTCTTGCATTTAGTATATTACTGTTATGAACCGTGCTGCCGCTGCCGTGATCGTCATTTGTTTTCGTAATTGCATGCCGGGCGGCGGGCGCCTGCTTTTGTTGTTCTATTTAGTCTCGCTCCCATGAATTGCGTGTTTAGTGTGTGCATCATGGAAAAGTCTGCTTTAAACTTTACAGCGTAGTCACTTACGGTAGTTGTAATTACTTTATTAAGTTTAGTTCTTTGCAGTCATATTAAGAGACAAATCTTTAACGAACTAATACTTTGTATAATTTTAATTGTTGAGTGAAAGCTGTGCCTGCAGGCTGCAGCCTTGCTGGGATGCTGGCACGCAACATTTCCAAGTGAATTACCTTATAGAAACTTAGCATACCCATACGTGTTTTAACGCCTATAAGAAGTTCATTTATTTGCCTCAAATAATGTTGTATCGAAAAACTGGTGTAGGTGTATCGGGAATAATATATGAACCGTCGATATTAGAATTCCATCCTGCGTTGCTTGTTGCAGACTTGCAGTCAGGTGGCACCCTTGTCTTCTGGGTGGCGGTTTTTATTCACTAATCAAGGTAGAAAGAGACAAAAGTTTGCAGTTAGTTAAAGTTAACGAACTAACACCGATTGAAAGCCGGCAGATTTGGTCTCAGAAAATTAGCACTACCTTTAAGTTTCACTGTGAACTCTCGATTGAAACTTACTTGGTTACTTGGTTAAGATGAGGCGCGTCATCGACTGAAGTATTGGCGCCCCCATTCAGCATCTTCGTGGATTACTAAATGTTGTCAAGCGTGTTGGTGTCTTGGAGGTACTTGATAATTATATCAGCAGGAAATTCAGGGGCTATGAGCGAGGACAGGCTGAAGGAGACTCCAAGGCGGATGCAAGCAGCTTTCAGTTGGTTGCGATGAGGAGACAGTGCAGGGCAGTTAATGAAGAGATGGTCAAGAGTGAGCCG